GCAGTGGAGTGGTGTCAGTGCGGTGTGTGCTCCTGAGTAATGCTGTGTGTTTGCAAATGTGGTGGTGTGCATCGCTGCCAGTCGCTTGGGCCTACATCCAATCCGCTGAAGACTTTTTTTTGGTTGTTTTGCATTCCCTCCCTTTTTTCTGTATCTCTGCTAAAAAAGCAGAGTGCTAAGAAATACTGTTTTTTTTAAAAAGGTTTTTTTTATTCCCTTTACCTGCAAGGTGGTTTTATATGTGGGGTGAGGGAATTGTACTTTCTCACTTCTCAAAATGGTGGTAAAACTGATAGCAGCTACCTTTCCAGAGAAAGGAGTAGTGAGCAAAGAACTCAGGTGGGCTGGGATGTTCCCGGGGCTGGCTGAGTTGCAGCGTTGCTGCTGGGAAAGCAGTCTCTGTTTGATCTTAGCTCCTCTGAGACCTGACAGATTTGTAAGCCATAGCCTTTAGCTGCTGCTTTGATTGTGAGTGCAGAGTGCTGGAACGAGGTTTTGTTCTCAAAACAGAGAGAAAGGAGTAAGAATGAAAAGTGTGTGTAAGGAGGCAGGGGAAAAACCACGGCCAAGTGTAATTCCAGCCAGCAGGAAGGATATAACTGAAAACTTGAGCTACTAGCAAAGTTTAAAAATAATAAATTACTTAGGCCAAGTTAGCGTGGGAGTGAGATAGTGGGCCTTTTCAGATGCAGCTCCTTTCAGTCTTTAATAATGCATGGCAGTTTTGATGATCCTAAATCACTGGAGCACAAATCTCAAGGCAGTGGGCGTAGCTGTGGGGCTTACTTTGTGTGATGGGGAGGAGGGGAGCCTTCCTGTTACGGTGAACTGGCTCAAAATAGTGAGGCTTGGAGCTGCTGCACGCCATCCTCCAACCTGTAAGCCCTGTGGAGATAGATGGATTACTGTGCAAACACGAGCTCTGTCTTGGAAAGACACTGGGGAAATCTGTCCTTTCATGCCAAGCGGAATATGGCACCTCAGGTTTCCCTTGTTGCTTTCATTTGAACTTTATTTAAAGTCCCTCAGCACCAGTGTGGATGTAGAGTCACTAGCAGTGGAATTATTCTAGAAAAATCTCTTGTTGCTGTTATTTGTTCCCTCTTTTCCTCCACAGGGTTTTTGTCAATTAGTCTCCACTTTGCTATCTGTTTCCTCCAAAGGGAATTACTTGAATTCAGCAGCTTGAGACAGTTAACGATATAAAACAAACTGGTGTGTAGGTGGCTGAATTAATCTAGCCTGTATCTCTCTACCAGCATT